TTGAGCATTTATTTATTTCTGTATTTATTTTTAAATATGGCAGAGTTGGTCCTCCATAGAGCAGAAAGGGAGAGAAATATAAAAAAGCACCAGCTAGTGATGGAGTAAGTGCTTTAAATTAGTGCAGCAGCTTAGCTTAGCTTCTCTCCCTCTGCTGCAGCTGCAGGCAGCCTGAACACAGCTGGCAGTGACAGAGAAAGAGAGGGGGGCAGGGTTACAGATCCACTCGCTCCTCGCTCAGGAGGACAGAGTTCAGTGCTTTTATGTGTTATCTCCAAAGTCTCCATTAACAGAAAAAAAGTCACTTGATTTGGCACATTTTTAAAATAAAAGTGCTAGAGATGTCTGAAAAGTTGTTAAATGACAGCGACAAAAGGAAATCTTTATGGCAACTGTGACATCTCCTAACCTAAAATATTTACCATTTGGTTTTAAGGAAATTTCTCCCCTTTCTTATTTTCTTTTATAAAAAAAACTAGTGGACATCTTTCTAAAATCAAGGACTTATTTTAGGAGCAAAACGCGAACGGAAAGGGTGAAATCAATCAGTACTTGCATGCATGCTCTGTTTTTCCTTTCCTACTCGCACCAATCTACTCTTAGGTGAAAATGTGATTAAAATTCTCGCACTGTGAGCGGGAAAAAAAAAGCAATCAGCTGAAAAACCCAGAGAGACGAATGGATCTCCATCAGTCAGAGCTGAAATCCACGGTAATACTGACCAATCTATTATAAATATTTAAACAAAATAAACATTAAATCACAAAATAACACTAATATTGCTGGGTGAACCGTAAAACATTAAAGACTTTATATTATTTATTAAACATGAGCAAAGCTGACCTGTGTGATAAATTAGTGTGTGATTAACTAAAGCGAAATGATGATCAAGAGGTTAAACAGCTGCATACCCAGGATGATCCTAGATTATTTTAAATACTGTTTGAAATAAAAATCATTTGTCATATTAGTACTCTAAAATTAAATTATTACATACTGTTCAATAAAAGATGTGTTTTTAATTAAGACTATTTAAAGTCCTTCACTAGAGGCATGTTTGTCAAACACTGCTGCCACCTACTGGTTTGTGACATCACGGTGTGGTATCGGCTGTTGATCAAGTCTTGCTGTATCTGGTGTTTGTCACAAAGCACTATTATCCAAATCATCTTGAAAACATTCTTTCTTCCAAATGTTGGCTACATATTACATGTTTTTTTCTCTGGCCAGAAGTTTGATGGTAAACCCTCCCCCTTCAAATTGGCAATCTAACGACCGAGACCGCAGTAACCTGTCCGTGGAGGATCATGAATCGGAAAGGTGAAATAACTGATTTTTTTTCCCGCTTTTACCCGATGAATGATTATGAGCCCAAATATCAGTGGTGAAGTCCTCACGAAATCTTCAATAATTGTTGTTGGTTGCAGATGTGTCTAGTAGCTCCCATTGATTTTGCTTGTAAAGCGGGGAGAATGGCGCTCGGCTTACTGTACTGTGATGTCACTGCCGGAAGATGCCAGGAGTAAGGTGTTACTATAGTTGGGCAAATATAAATATAAATTCATTAAATCCAAGCTAACGTATTATTTTTAGGTATAGATAATGATCCATTGATCATTCCTTGGTGCTTGCTTTTCCCTTTAAATAAAGGATAAAAGATAACATAACTATTTCTGTTAAACTTCTGAGTTAATATGATAATGGCAGTCTCGTCAATCTGGATTATTATTCCATGGGTTTTATACTGGATGAAAGAGAATAATCCTACTAAAAAAAAAAAAAAAAAAATAGAATATAGAAAGCAGGCTGGTTGGGCCACCTATTAATCTGCTCAGGGCCTCATAGACCTTTGGGTCGCCCCTGGGAATCACATAAAATAACCAAGCTGATAAATTCCAGTTTCTCTACATCAGTTAAATGATTTCAATCAAGCTCTGGTTCCTGCGGTCCCAGATCTGGTCTCAGTTACCTCCTCCAGCTCCACCGCGGCTCCTCCGGGTCCAGAAGCGGCTTCCCCGCTGTCCCTTTCCCGCTGTCCCTGCGGTGTTTCTGCCCGGGCAGCGGCCTCTGTCCCTCCGGTTCCCTCCTCCGGAGCCGCCGCCTTGCTCTCTCCGCCCCTGGCCACGATGGACTCTATGAGGTGCAGCTTCTTCTTCAGGTCCTGGTTCTCCTTGTGACTCCGGCTGATCTCCAGCTGCAGAGCACAGTAGCCCTCCTCCACCAGCTCGCAGATCTCCACCAGCGCCGCCTTGGTCAGCGCTCCCAGGATGACGGACAGCTGCTCCTGGAGCGCTTTGCTGCTCAGAACCGACATCCCGACGCTCCAACAGAACCGCGACCGAACAGAACCAGCTCCTGAGCGAACTCACGAACCCAATACGACCTTAGAAACCCTCCGAGACAACGAGGACAGGCCACTCTCCACGTTTGGACTACATAAAATGTCGAAGACTACAAAGAGAGACGCATGTTTTGCCTTCTAAGCCGCGTCACTTCCGGATAGTTTCTATTTCAAAATAAAATGAATGTTTCAAATTAAACTATTTTGATAAAAATAACAAGAACAAGATAAGTAAACTCTATCAAAACACGAACAATAAAATGGTAATCTGCCTGATTAAACTCACCATGATAGCCAAGAACAGGAAACTTAATTCAGCGAACACTTATTCTGTATTTTTAAATCAGTTTTAAAGAGTTGTAGCTGTTTTAATTGTCTCCTTCATATATTTTTCATTATAAAATGCTTACTGTTTTTTTATTTTTTGTTTTTTAGGTAGACAACTTTAAGATCTGTCCAGGGAAAAAAGGTGAAAAATAGTCTTTTGGCTATTTCTTGTGTATTTGCAGGAATGTTTTTTAATATACACTGTCCCTGTCAAATAAATAAATTACATTAAATATTCAAGCAGAGTTCCCCAAAAATTTCAGCTTCTGACCCACAAAGGCTACCGAAACTGACTCGTAACCTGAATTATTGGTAAAGTATACCATAAGAAAGAACATTCACAACTGGTGGAATAACATTACAAAGAGCATCAACAAACAAAATATATTTTTTCCATTTTAAGTGATTGTATATCTTTAACACAACACAAATGTTTGATGTTTTGTTTAATGCTACAATGTTTGTTTTTGTTTTGTTTTTTTACAGGGATTTACTTACAGAGATGTAAAATATTACCTATAAGTAAATTATTTATCATCAGCTATGAACTGAAAGTCTCAATCTTTATGTTTGTGTTGTTATCAGTAATTATATAGAAGCAGGTCTCAATTGAGATCATCATTTTCACGCTGAAATGTGACTGTGGTAAATTATGCCTTTATTAAATCTACACAGACTAATAAAAAACTATAACATTATCTACCATTTATTTCCCTCCAATAAAGATGGTGGCAAAAGTAATGATCTCAAGTGGAATATTCAAAACATTTGAATTTTTCATATTTTAACAATTACTTGACAACAAAAACACTGTGGTTAATTATGCACATCAATATACTAACATTAAAAATGATAAGTACAGAATTCAAGCAGAAATAGATTTTGTGCTTTATGGGGTGAAGAGAAAATAATGCGTCTCTGCAAGTCATCTAGGAGTCTACAGTGAAATCATTGATAACTATTTTAATAAAAACGTATTAAATAATCAATTTATGTATATATTAGTGCCTGTAAATGTCAATTTTATGCAGAATGATTACTGATAAAAGTAGGTAAGTAATGAAAATGGAAAAGATGTTCGCCCAAAACTGAATTTTATCCACTATACCTTTTATTGGAAAAGCACAGATGTTTGAAAATATTCATCTATTCATTAGCAAAGGCTGTGGGAAAGTATAGTTTGTCTTTATTTAGAAAATATGGATGTTTTGCTCGTTAATTTTTACGCCTCTGTTGATCAAGGACCCCCAAGTTAGGAAATCACTGGGTGCGTTCGAATCCATGGGCTGCGTCTTCCAAGGACGCGGTCTCCCTGGACTGGGTACCTCGAAAATAAGGAGACCGGAAGAATTCAAACAGGTCTAGTTGCTACTATTTTCACATATCCATTACTGTAAAAATGTTCATAGCTGTATAGTGGTTATTTATTCTCCAGGTGCAGTTTTTATATTGTTAAAACACTTTACAGTACAGCATTTTATTATTTGTCTTTTAACTCTTCAATATTATGTTATTCTTATACATTTTCTGCTGCTGTAAACAACAGAATTTCCTCATTGTGGGACAATAAAGGGATTTTCTATTCTGTTCTATAAAAGGGGTAGAAATATATAAGTAAATCTAAACAAAGTATGTATAATAAATATATCTGCAAAATCTCATATTCAACAACAAAACATACTTAGTTAAGCAAATTGTGCAAAATAGCAATTAAAAAATCCTATCAGATTTATAGTCCCCACACTGCAGATATATTAGAATGTCTTTAAATTACAGCCAAACTCATTTACACAGTAACAGATAAAAACCTTTAGATAAATCAAAATTTACCGCCACATATCTGACTCAATAACCATTAAAACAACTATTTTCATTCATTTCAGACGGAACTATTCACACACTTGTATTATATTAAACTGAACTTCCAATATTCACCACTGTTTGGTGCGAAGTAGCCTTTTCCTCTGAGCACGGAGCAGCTGGAGTACTTGGTCTTGGGAAAACCAAGTGTACGNAGAGTTTTCACTTAACCTCCTTTCTGAAACAGGCCCCAGGTCTCAATTGAGGCAGACATCTTTGTGATATGGCAGCCCAGAGCTGACAAACTAGTAACCGTAGAGATCATCATTTTCACGCTGAAATGTGACTGTGGTAAATTATGCCTTGATTAAATCTACACAGACTAATAAAAAACTATAACATTATCTATCATTTTGTACCACAGTATCTGTATTGTTGGGGGCTGAGGTTTTGTTCATGGTGCTTCAGTCTGACCATTAAATGTCGCAAAAATCACACTGTAGGTTTAATTTTTATTTTAAATAATAACCTCAACTGTTTGATCAACAGGGGTGGAGCTAGATGGGGGACCAGCCAATCATTGGCCACTCCTACCATTTATTTCTGTCAGGATCCAGAGGCTTGCCCACCAGAGGGCGCCATAGATCCTTCCTGAGAGCTTGTGTTCAGCTGTAGCAGGTGTTCCCCATCAGCTCATTAGGGTTTTTTCCCTTCATAAGCTGGAGGAGAGCTCCACTCTGAGCCGGATTGTTTTGACCCTGTTGTGGTTAGCAAGCCCGAGCCAGCCAGCCTGCCTGTCTGACTCCCTGGAACCTGAATCTGCACCTGACCTGTTTGTCCTCTCTGCCTTCCAGGAAGAATCCTGCTCTGTATGCAATAAACCTTTGGACTTTTTCTCCTGCCTCTGTGTGTGTGTTCTGCATCTGGGCTAGAAATTCTGCCGATCATGACAATTTCCCTCCAATACAGATGGTGGCAAAAGTAATAATCTCAAGTGGAATATTCAAAACATTTTAATTTTTCATATTTTAACAATTAACAACAAAAACACTGTGGTTAATTATGTACATCAATATACTAAATTTAAAAATGATAAGTACAGAATTCAAGCAGAAATAGATTTTGTGCTTTATGGGGTGAAATAACTATTTTAATAAAAACGTATTAAATAATCAATTTATGTAGATATTAGTGCCTGTAAATGTCAATTTTATGCAGAATGATTACTGATAAAAGTAGGTAAGTAATGAAAATGGAAAAGATGTTCGCCCAAAACTGAATTTTATCCACTATACCTTTTATCGGGAAAGCACAGATGTTTGAATATATTCATCTATTCATTAGCAAAGGCTGTGGGAAAGTATAGTTTGTCTTTATTTAGAAAATATGGATGTTTTGCTTGTTAATTTTTACGCCTCTGTTGATCAAGGACCCCCCCCCCCCCCAAGTTAGGAAATCACTGGGTGTGTTCGAATCCATGGCTGCGTCTTCCAAGGACGCAGTCTATCTGGACTAGGTACCTCGAAAATAAGGAGACCGGAAGAATTCAAACACATCTAGCCTTCTGCGATGTTGCTGCTATTTTCACATATACATTACCATAAAAATGTTTATAGCTGTAATTGGTTATTTATTCTCCATGTGCAATTTTTATATTGTTAAAACACTTTACAGTACAGCCGTTTATTATTTGTCTTTTAACTCTCAATATTATGTTATTCTTATACATTTTCTGCTGCTGTAAACAACAGAATTTCCTCATTGTGGGACAATAACAAGATTTTCTATTCTGTTCTATAAAAGGGGTAGAAAGATATAAGTAAATCTTAACAATATATGTATAAAAAAGATATCTTCAAAATCTCATATTCAACAACAAAACATACTTAGTTAAGCAAATTGTGCAAAATAGCAATTAAAAAATAAAAATCCTATCAGATTTATAGTCCCCACACTGCAGCTATATTAGAATCTGTCTTTAAATTACAGCCAAACTAATTTACACAGTAACAGATAAAAACCTTTAGATAAATCAAAAATTACTCGCCACATATCTGACTCAATAACCATTAAAACAGCCATTTTCATTCATTTCAGACGGAACTATTCACACACTTGTATTATATTAAACTGAACTTCCGATATTCACCACTGTTTGGTGCGAACGAAGTAGCCTTTTCCTCTGAGCACGGAGCAGCTGGAGTGCTTGGTCTTACAATGAATCCTGGGAAAACCAAGTGTATGTAGGATACACTGGACCCATCCTTCAAATTGGGGAAGAAGAAGATACGCATTTGTAGGCCGCATAACGAGGAGTCCAGGAATCAGACCAGACCTTGGAGCCGCATTATGACGCAATCGGCCTACGAATCTGGCCTTCGGAGGACACAGCCTACGAATTTGAACACACCCAATGATATAGAGAAAACTATAACCACTTTACACACAGCAACAGAAAATACCAGGAAAGGACTGAAAAGCATGATTTATTTAGGCTTTATTAAGGAGGAAGGATTTTACAATAAAGATTCATTTTAGAAATAGTTGGAATTAGATTTTTTTTCTCACTAATCCAGGCAGATTCATGATTCATATGTCGCCCATAATTCAAACATTTCCTTTAAACTTCAGCGGCTCTTTAAGCCATTCTGGTGGGATTTATGACCAATTCTTCCCAAAATAAAGCTTAAGATTCCTGCTGCTCATTTAAGGTAGAGCTAAAGACCTTCCAAGAAGTTTTACACCTTTTTTCCATTTGCTCTATGCATAGCATAACACCTTCTCCACCGTGCTTAAAAGTTGGTGCTGCATTCTAAGAATTATGAGCCTTATCTCCCAACATCTTCACTGGAAAAACGATCTAGAAATAAGTAGAAATTTCTTAAATTAAGTGTATTTATCATTAATTTGAGAAGGTAAATGAGTTTGTCAATGGAATTAGTATTTTTACTTTTAAGATAACATATTTAGATTCACTTGAAATAAGACAGTGCAATTG